AGAGAGAGAGAGAGAGAGAGAGAGAGAGAGAGAGAGAGAGAGAGAGAGAGAGAGAGAGAGAGAGAGAGAGAGAGGGGGAAGGCGGCGTAGACAAGCAGCTATGGCGAAAAGTGCAACGACAGAGGAAGCCGATCGGCAGCTTCTAGAGAATGTGGACGTGCTTGTGAAGGAGGAACTGAAGGTGGTATCGTATAAATGGCTTAGCCGTGCGTTCTCCATTCCCTGTAATGCCGCGAAGAAGGTGCTGGCTCGCTACGCAGAGGAGCAAGAAGGCGTCAATGGAAACGAGATGGAGGTGGAAAATGGCGACGATCAGAGGAAGAAGAAAGGCCCAGTTGTTGTCATTTACCTAGTCTCGGGATGGTCGAAGACAGAACCGAAGACTTTCCTTTTTCAGCTGACTTCCAAGGACAAATTAGAGAGCGTGAAAGGACAGCTAGCTTCGGTCTCGTCCGTACACGTGTACAGCGTGCAGCCGTCATTACCGAAAGACCCCGCTGAGCTTTGGACAGTCGACCATCTGCAAGCGCAGGAGCTTTTCAATCAACCTGTCGAATACGACAACTGCTTGCGCGACAACAGATACAGTGCGGTGACGTGTCCTCTTGTGAAGCGCAATTTGGCGGGAAACTCGCGCAAGGTGACTGCGCCCCCCCCTGACAGCGGAGCTGGAGGAGTTCGTGGCGGTTTGGCTTCGACTTCTGGATCTGGATCTGGATCTGGATCTCGACCTGAAGCCGGTGCTGTTGCTGGTTCAGCGAAACCAACCTCCGTCTCCACTGCCCCTCTCGGGGTCAATGCCAATCGTCAAGGAGGAGGAAGAGGAGGGGGAGAAGTAGAGGGAGGAGAGGGTGGGGGTGGGAAGCGGTTGTTAGCCTCGGAATCATCAGGTGGGGCAGATGGGGGAAAACCACCTCTTCATCCTCCAAGCGCCACGGGGGTTCCCCCTGGTCTCTCTTCAGGCATTGGTGGCGGAGGGAAACCTAATGCTGCGGGCTCCACGTCAGCGAAGACGGGAATGGGTAGCGGGGGTGCAAATACTGCTTCGGGGGGGAAGAAGAAGGGTTCTTCTGCTGGAGGCGGTAGTCTGGCCGGTCTATGGGGTCGTGCAGCGGCGGCGTCGAATAATAATAATAAACCCAATGCGAAGAAGGACGCTGCCAAGTCGTCAGCGGCGGTGGGGTTGTCATCATCAGGCGCGCGCGCGGAGAAGGAGAAGGATGAGCAATGCCGCGGAAGGGGGGACTCCGCCACGGGTGGAAAGCAGCCTGGTCTTGCCGCCAACGCAGAGGCGAAGATTATAGCTATGGAGGAGGAGATGGCTGAAGCGGAGAGCAGCGACGATGATTATTCCTCCTTTTCGCATGGAAGGAGGAAGAGGGCAGCTCAGGAAGGAGGAGGTGGGGGAGGAGGAGGTAGTCGAGTTGTAGCGGGGAGGAGGAGAAGGTGGATGGTAGATGACGACGAGGACGAAGAAGATGGCGATGGCGCGATGGATCGGGCGGAGTGCGCGGATGCGGCGGGGAATGGCGGCCCGGCGGGAGGTCCCCTTCGCGCTAGCAGCGATGATGCTCAACAAGCTATTCCTGTCGGAAATGGGGGGATGAAAGAAGAACGGAGACGCGGATTGCAGGAGGAGGAGGAGGAGCAGGTGGAGGATAGGATTGAGGAGGAGGTGATCCACTTAGGGAACGGTGGAGATGGCAGAGAGAAAGAAAGCGGCGCGAGGGTAAGTTATGAGCAGAGAGAGGTTGGAGGGGAGGTAGGCAAGTCGAGAGAAGAAGGAAATGGCGCGAATGCGAATGTGGCGGGAAAAACAGACAGAGAGGGCATGAATGTGGCGGGAAGAACAGACAGAGAGGGCGCGAATGTGGCGGGAAGAACAGACGGAGACGGCACAAATGTGGCGGGAAGAACAGACAGAGAGGGCACAAATGTGGCGGGAAGAACAGGCAGAGAGGGCAAACGGGAGGACAGACCGAATGGCGGTGCCTCGACTGTTGATGAGGTGTCCAGGAAGGACCACGTGTCGGCATCTCTGAAGAAGCGTTCGATGAATGGTGAGGGGAAAACAGCAGCAGCAGGAAGCCGAGGAAGAGGAGAGGGGGATATGGCGCCTCCAGCGACCGGGAGTGGGTTTGGCGGGAAAATGGTAGGAGAAAGGGCATCCTGCGAAGCAGCGATCAGTAATGGCGGGAAAGATGGAGGGCTAATTAAGAAGCGAAAGGTCGTACGGACGAGGATCGATGAGCGCGGGAGAGAGGTTACAGAGGTGGTCTGGGTCAATGAGAATAACGATGAAGTGAAAACCGATGAGGATGTGAAAACGAGTACAAGAGACACCGCAGCAGCAACGAAGCACCAGCACGAGCAAGCGGGAGTTTTCTCTGGTGCTCGGGATTCGGATAAGTCTGGCAAGCCCGCTGGTGGCCCCTCAACTCCGATAGCAGCTGGGGCGGGAAAGAGCTCGGCGGCTATGGCGGCAACGACGACGGCGCCGCATTCTTCCTCCTCTTCTGCACATAAGGCGGGTGGTTCGGGCGCAGGTGGAGGAGGAAAAGGTGGGGGGGTAAGTAGGACATCGGCGGGAAAGGGAGGGGCAGGGAAAAAGGCGGCAGTCAATCAACCTGGCATCATGTCCTTCTTCAGCAGGAAGCCGTCGTGAATCGATGGTGAGTTTCTTTTACGGTATTTCATTACCGCATTATTAGGGCCTCGCTGCACTACTCTCGACATGCACAAAAGACAAAAATCATGGCGGTGCATCTTTCCATATTCTAGCGGAAGATTCACTCTCGTTTTGCACATTTCGAGAGTAGTGCAGCGAGGCCC